TTGTTTCTAAACAAGCCATAAATAACAAACAATTTTTGAGATTACGCAGGTATTTTAATAATTAATTAATCGATAAAAGTTTATGGTATAACTCAAAAAAAAACAATAACAGTACCTATAGAGTTATTACGAGTGTTAAGTAACTTTAAAAATGACACATTGACAAAAAAAATATATGATATTCTTACCTTTTTGCTTTTTCGAGTGCTTCATCCCCCTGATTCAAAAATTCCACAAAAGAATTCGGGATACTTGAATCAACTCCACTAACATCGATAATATCGCCATCGTGAGTAACTTGAACCCCGAGTTGGGGTTGTCCACTGTTAACTTTAAACTGCACAAACCGCATATTCACCCTCTTGCTCGTGCTCAACTTTCTTACAGACGAAAAATTAAAAACGCTTTTTTTAATATTAATGCTCTGCCGATTGTACTGTGCCTTACTGAAAAATCTTAATAAATTATTCGATGTTTTAGCAAACAAACAAGAATTTACGTAAACCGTAATGTTCATTTTTATAAGTACGTCTGTGTATCTATTATCAGGTCGAGAGGTACTTCAGTCGTCGTAAAAAAAAAAAAGAAAAACAAGCCAATAAATTAAAATTTCAAACAGTTCGTTAATAAACACGCATATAAGTAGGAAAAAGACGAACAGAAATAATATTAGGCGCTGGCTCTAAAAGTCAGATTAATTTGCGATAATGAGTTAATCAAACAAGCGTGAGTTGTTTGAGGTGATGATTGCGATAAGATTTTGATAAAGTACAGAATCTGTACTTCAGTTTACAACTAGACGGCCGTATTGGGTTTGAAAGTTGAACAACTCGAATTGTGGGTACATTAAAAGTACAAATTGTACATGTATATTAATCGAAACGCGTGTGTTTTCGAAAGTAGCCTTGAAGATTGACTTTATATTTTTTTTGCTATATAGATTTCGCAGTTTTGCACGTAGGCCCTGGCTGTGAAAACGCCCACGACTTGCGCGTTCGCGGTTTAATAAAATTGCCAGAATTCTATAAATTTTACAACTCAAAACATACTTCTACCTTTGGAGTTACAGATTACTTTGTATTACACTTGCAGACTGTAATTTGACACTCTAACACTATTTCCTACAATCTTACAGGTATTTAAAGTAATTGTGTTGTCATTTATTATCGAAAGGACCCTGTATATTCCAATAATTAAATAGATTTTCTAGATCAATCTGTACGCGATCGATACACCAGGTGTCAATATACAGCTAAGAATTGTTTAAACAGGATTGCACCCAGAAAAATTTTAACAAGAAAAATTAAATTTTTGTTTTCAAATAATATGCATATATTAAATACTCAAATTAAATATAATGCTCAACAGAATTAACATTAACATAATTATACAAAACTAAATCCCATGATCCTTATTTGTACTGATCAAAACCAATTTAAAAATTGAAAATTCAATAAGTTTCATCATAAAACAAGGGCAAATCCAAGTCTCTTTTCTTAATAAATAACTTTGTTATTAGGTTGACAATTGAAATTAATTATTTAAAAAAATTCGATAGTCCAAATTATTTAAATCACAATTATTACTGATTACGGACCTGACCAGTCTACTACAACGTTAGCGGCATCTTCATAATTATAATAATAATATAATAATTATATTTCTAGTTGCGCTACTTGTCGCGAGATGACTCTACTAGTCCAAAACGATACAATAAATATTTATAAAAGGGTAATAAGATCGCTTGAATAAAATATGATTTGTTTAATTCTTGAAACAATTATTGGACTCATATAAAATCATAAAATATTGTTTTTGAAATTCGTAAAGCATAAGGAATCCCTTTATCCACTTATAAATATATGCAATTACTAATCATAAATAAAACACTTATTTACAATAGCAACAAATATGTCTGGCAAAATTTCTATCAAGGGATTATGATAAAAAATTTATATGGCTTTCGGGGGTTGCCATCTGTGAAGAAGTTGGGAGTTCCCCAATCTTTCTATTTGGCTCCCCAGTCATCACTCCCCTTATACGGCTGACAATTTGTGATTTGAAAGCATCCTTAGTAATTATTCCTTAATAGATATTTGACCGGATGTGCCCAGGATCTTCTAATTGTAAATGATCACGCAACTTTTGAATACGCCGCGACTATTTCCAGGATATAACCATGTCATGGAGACTATTAAATTTGCCCTTACAATATTCCTGACCGGTTATACGAATCCTGGACATGTTTTATCGTCCCGAATGGGAAAGTTTACAAATGATGGTTGCCACTTGTGCAGGAAGGGAGAGTTATCCAAATCTAGTTATATACTTTGACTATTTGACTTCCCCGCCTCCTCTCCCCTTATATGTACATATGTCACTCCCCAAAAAACACAAATTTGTGATTTGTAAGCATCCTTATAAAGGTTCCCAAGCAGATATTAGACTGGGAGTGTCAATATGCAGGTGATGTACAACTTTTAAATTACCCTGAATATTTTCCCGGCTGTTAAATTTGCCCCTATAATTTCGCAGACCGGATATACGAAAACTGGACATACCTTTTCGCCCCGACCGTGTTGTTAGTCGGCAACAGGATACGTTCGGCCAAATTTCTAGCAGAAAATGTTTACAAATGACTTAAAAATTTATGAAAATGACTTTTGGGTGGTTATCATTTGTCAGTGGCGAACTAAGGGTAAAGCGGGCCCTAGGCAACATTGCAATTCCAGGCCTATTTTTCAGTCATGATGCATACTTTGCATTTGGTTTTAAAGCATATGGTATGTAGTTCTATTTAATGATCGCATTTCAAGAAAAAAATGAAAAAAATAGTATACATGTACAAAAATTAAATAAACATAATTTATTAAAACAAACAATAATACTTAAACAAATATACCCAGATTNCAGCTCCGACAGAACACAGACCAACTTTTACCTGCTGTCTTAACAGCGCGTTTTAGAAAATACCACAAATGGCGTGGTGAACGCCATCTGTAGTACGATGCTACATTTTAGGATTACGTATGCTTCAACAAGGTCCATTTAAAAATATGGATATCTACTTGCTGAAACGAATCCCGGCGTAGCTCACCTCAACGTGATAGGCACGTTACCATAATCGAATAAAATAATTCGAAGTGGTCTGTATTCTATTTCTATTTTATTCGATTAAGCTAACGTGCCTATCACGTTGAGTTGGCTACGCCGGGATTTGTTTTCAGCAAGGTAGATATCCACAAAAGTGGACCTTGTTGAAAAATACGTTATCCTAAAATGTAGCATCGTGCTACAGATGGCGTTCACTGTGCCATTTGTAGTATTTTTTATTTAATTTTTGTTGGCCTAATGTGGATCTTAAAGAAATTTTTATTCTGACCATTACTGAGAATGATCTTTCACCGCTTGCATTGTTTATTGGATGGGTTAAATAAATTCTCAGAATTATGTTTAAATTAGGGAATGTTGCAATAATATTATTTTCCTGAATAAATGACCACATGGATAAACCCGAAATAATATATAAATAAATTGTAATACTTCATTTTTTAGTTCTGCTAAGTTTAAATCTTGCTCATAACATTTTAATTCCTCTATTGAGGAGTCACTAACATCACTATAATGAAAAATTGTTTTGAATTAATAACCTAATTTTCGGGCTCCAAAAATTACGGACCCTAGACACGTGCCCAGATTGCCTAGGCCTTAGTCCGCCCCTGTCTTTTGTGTAGAAGGAGTGGAGGGTTGTCGGAATCTAGTTATATATTTGACTTTCCGTCCTTACTTCCTTTATATATACATATGCCACTCCCAAAAAAACACATAAATTTGTGATTCGTAAGCATCCTTCATAAACGCTCCCTGGCAATCATTTGACCGGGTGTACCCAGGATGAAAGTGATTCCACAACTTTTCAATTATCCTGAATATTCTCCCGGCTGTGGTCAAGTGACGAAGGCTGTTAAATTTGTCCGTACAATTTTTGTCTGCCTTGGTCCAAGTTTTTCTGTGGTTTCTTTGGATCACTTAGGCAAATGCTGGGGCAGTTATATTCCACAGATAATCTTTCACTCTCTTTTGTCTTCATTTCGTCCGTCTCATCTTTCTCACCCGAACCACCACCCCCCCATTCCCACGATTCTTGAAAGTAGGCTGAAGAGGGCCTTCCGCCCTAGCTTCCGGCATAATCCCGAAGGACTGCCCGCCCACCAGCATTACTGGCTGGTGGGAATGAAACACCCAAAAGTTTTTTTTTTTATTGAGGATGAATGTTTAAGAGGGCGGTAAGCTAGAGAGGGTGCAGAAATATTTTTGGGGGAGCGAGCCACCAGTGTTCAAAGAACAATACAATTTCGAAATAATTTTTTTTATTTTTATAAATGTAGGCCGCTTCATTTGTGTAGATAGTCTAACGAACCGAAAGTTTTGCGATAATTTTAATGACATTTTCGTGAATCAATTAAAACATTCCATCGGATCGGCGCGAGTTGCTACGACGATCGGACTTATAGACTTCTTTAATAGATGTGACATTTCGACCTACAATAAGCCATTAGAGAGAAGAATCCGTGCGATAAAAGGGACCTTGTTTCGAACCGACCATCATGGGTATGGGCATTATAAAAGCCTACCTATGCATAGCTATATATATAAATACGAGTATAATACACCCTAATTAAATTAAAATGCCGTGGCCGAGCTCGATATAATTGATTGTCGAAACAAAAGACTCCCGATACCATCTCGGTGTCATCTGTTCTCCCGCCATCAATAAAACTAAAATGACAAACGGACAGGGACGTATTCAGGAAACAATCACGAATTTCATGTTTCTCGGTGGCACGAAATCGTTATCTTCAAAATCGAAAACCAACATAAATTTTATATACAATAATAGAAAATATATGGTGTATGTTTGGATCACGGCGTCGTACGGGTGCGAAATATGGATAAATGATGAGTAACGAAATGTTTTTAAAAACAAATTGAAATCTTCTTTATTTTTGATCACTTGTTTAAATAAATAGATGAATGAGTGATAAAAAATATGGTAGTTCGTTTCATATAATTCGTACTGATACAAATATTTAAAATAAGAAGACATCCTTTATTTCTTCATTATATTTCCACAAACTAATAGAAACCAATACGATAAACAATAGAACAAACGATCGAGAATTAGTTTAACGAATGAATGAGCACATACATTTCGCCTACACCACAGTCAGAACGCTCGCAGCACATATTTCGTAAACGGGTAAAGTTAAGGGAAGACTAGGTGCGCCACCGAACAAATCCTCCTAGAACCCAATACGAGAAACAATAAAGTTAGAATTCAATTCATGAACACAAATAAAATCCAATGGTTCGAATAGTTTCATTGTTTCACTCGAAGTTGTCGTCTTATCTTCGTTCCACGTTCTTTTGTCTTCGATGGACCACTGCCAAGAAGTTTGACTCCGGATAAGTTCCGGAACGATAAATCCCGGATCTGCCCCGAACACTTAATGCAAACACTAAGAGAACTGACCGTGGTGCATATGCGAGCGTGCAAACCACCGTAATTGACCGGGCAAACAAAATGGAAGAGGGCCAGGTTTCTGTTTGTTTTGCGGTTCACCCGCAGAAAAACTGATAAACAAACTACACGTCAGATTGCATATACTGCGGAAAACGTGTAGTGGATCAATTGCAAAAGGTATAGACACATACCTAAGTATATATCATAGGCGTTTTCGCATCAACTAAGTAAGATAGATAATATACTAGAATTATTATTTACTTCTTACAAATTTACAAACATTTTTTGGACATGTGTACTCCATATGAACTTATGTTAATCTTAAACTTAAGTATCGCTTAAAATAAGC